AGCAATGACAGCTCTGTCTAATAGATGACCATTACTTGAGAGGAAATCAGATGGCTCCAAGAAGAAAAAATAAAAAATGCCGCTGTTATCTGTTACAGCCGTAGAAAAATTATAGTGTATAACTCGTACGGAATTAGTGTTGCCACCTTTGAATACCTGATTTCCAGGACGAAGTAGTTGAGAATGCAAGACAATCAATTGAAAATCGGGAGAATAAAAATTCAATATAGATTTTGAATAGTTCAACGAAAAAGAACTTCAAACCCGCAAACACTGCGCGGTGCGGAACTCAGTCTCATAGACATTTGAAAAATGGTTTCATTCAAACCTTTAAATATCAGTAAATAAAACTATGACTATATCATCTTTCAACAAAACTGAAACAAAATATTAATATCTACCTCAGAATGCATAATATATCATTGAAACAAATTAATGAGAAAAAGTATCTCGGGATTTGATTTGATGATAAATTGAAGTGAGACAAATATGAATAAAAGTATATACAAAAACATTGCCTATTATTTGATTTGATAGATAGACAGATAGACAGATAGATTTATTAGTCCTTTGTGCTACATTATGTAGATGGGAAATGTTAGGTTAGGTTAGGTTAGATGCAATGATGTTGCCATGAGTGAATTGAACGGAATTGAATAATCAAAAAAATGAGGGATAGCAATTCAAATGCTCAAAATTCAGGACATTTGGCGTTCTACAAGTGATCTCGACAGGACGCCGGAGAAAGTACCTCAAATTCAGGACGTCCTGCAAAATTCAGGACGTCCTGCAAAATGCAGGACGGAAGCTATACGGAATGATAATTCCCCACTGAAATTATTGCGTCATTCGCCTATGGTTCATGCTGTAAATTTCATTCTCGTGGGAAATCACTATCATTCCGTGCTCGTTAAACAATATACTATTTTTCTCGACAATGGTTGCAAATGCGTAAAAATTACAGGTGGCGAAAAAGTTTATGAAAGAAACTAAAAATTCATTTCGTATTTCAAAATCTACCAGCGGCGCACCACAAAAAGATTATTTTATGGAGCGTCAAAGGTCTTGACTCCTGAAAAAATATCTCCCTGCAGATTCTCACAATCATTCGTGATACCGTATGATGTAAACTCTGAAATGTTACCTTCTTTTTTAAATTTGTTCTGAATATATCTAAAACAAAAAGAGCTATAAAGAAAAATATTAAAAAAACCTGAAGTTTCAACGCTCTGTAGATTGGCAACGAAGCGTTTGCGGACACGTTTATATAAAAAAAGTCCAAGTTTGAACTGAAAAATAAGCTCCTCAAATCTTGATACTGAATTTTGAAACATCCGGTATAATGATCAAAAATACTCACACTTGACTTGCAGAAATCCAAGCTTATGATGCGGATTCATCTGTTGAAATTCAAGGCAGAAACAATATTTCCACAATCCAAATAAAATGTAAACAAAAATTACACAAAAGATGGTGCTTTATACATATAGTAACTTCATAAGATCTAAAATTTCTATTGAGTTTAACTCAAGCATCAACTTTGTTACCACAAAAATCTCATAACCCGTATTTTATAGGTATCAAATATATATCTAACTTATTAGGCTATACAGGGTCTCCCGAAATAAGACTACAACATTTCATCTGTGCAATTTAACTAGAATAAAAGGAGGTGAAAGTTGATCATCAACAACAGTTATAAAATGTTGCATATTTGGTTTGGAGTGTTGAATATGTAATCGGGATCAATTGCAAGAACTTATTTGTCTATTTCAGATGTTCTAATTGAAGGTATTGAAATTCGGAATCTTTACACAAGAAATGTTCATTTCGATTACTATAAGTTCCAATGTTTTTAACTCAGATATCTTGAAAAATAACAAATAAATTGCTGTGAATTTTTATCGTATTTACTCATCCATGAAATCGTGAATACGACTGATTGCATATTATATGGACTGTCACAGAATGTCACATTTCAAAAGTTACCAGTATAGGTATTGAGTTTGATTGATTCATTATTTCATGGCCTCCTATGATCAAAATTGCATTGTCATCTCTATATCTAGTTAAAAAATTGGACTTCCTCTTCAGAAGTTTCCAATTTAATCCACTCCTCATACGGCAATTTCAGGCTTAAACAGATAGAAAAGACAATCAGTATTCATAATAAAATATAGTTTTTTGATTTTTGTGATGTAATTTTGATCAAGTGGCCATGAATTGACAATTCAAATTCAAGTCATAGACCATCTTATAGGCCTATTAAAGTAGAATATTTGTAAAAAAACTTTTTGAAACCTTCATTCTACTCCCGAATAAAATAATACTCCCAATAATACATTTTCAGGGCCCATATTTCAACTTGAAACTTTGACTTTCATCTTTTAAACTAAATTACACTGCTATAATATCGCCGTCTAATCTCGGAACACCCCGTGTATATTTACATCACTGGGAAATTATACAAGGTGATTCACATTCACTGGAAGTTTTCCAATTCTTAGTTGGAATAAATTAATAACTTGATGTATCACACAGTCGAAACTAACTTTAAGTAAAAAATACGATTTTTTGAGTTATTGTAATTTTAGGATCGTTAATTGTATTAAAAATCATAACAACGCTAATCCAACAAGAATTGAATGAAACATTTTTCCATTAATTTCATTTTCGGTTGAATTCAAATTTGAAAAACTACCCCATATCAGTACATTTCATATTAAAACAGAACCAATCCGTGAGGAAGCCACAAAGCTTCATCTTACAGATTGAAACATATACACTGTTTTTAAAACTTTGAAGGGGAGATATATCTATTAACTAGTATGTCCTCAATATTTCCACTTACTCCATTTTTTTTTCCTTCAACGATTGCATGATATTATTGAAGTACGTCCGATACATGGGGTGGTTCTGCTGCACTCTTTGCAGCCTTGTCCAGGTACTGCGACTGCGCCCTAATCTGCCTGGGGATCTGATTGATACCGGCCGTTTTGGTGATGTAGCCTGTTACGGCCCCCGACGTTTGCTGTATTGCCATAGTAGTGCACCTTTGTTGTTCTCAACCCATTCGACTTTTATCTCACCAATGTAATATTCTCAACTGGTATACCTGCCTAACCCAACGTACTTCGACGATTCTGTGACGTTTTTGTGGCAGTTTTGTAGCGTTTTCGATGCTTTAACGAACCCGTGACGTTTCTGTGACGTTTCAATTACGTTTTTGTGACAGTTTTGTGCCGTGTTTAATGCATAAAGAGAACCGTGAAGTTTTTGTGACTATTTATGAACATTTGTGACGTTTCTGTGACATTTTTTTACCAACGTCTATACGAGTGGCGAGGCTAAGTGGCGAGGCTAAATGGTGGGGCAAAACAAAAACGTCATGGGTTCGTCAAAGCATCTAAAACATCACAAACCTGCCACAAAAACGTCACAGAAACAGCAAAGGTTTGTCAAAGCATCAAAAATGCGACAAAGTTGCAACAAAAACGTCACAGAATCTCGTCATTCTAGGTTGGGATAGGCAGGTATTCCAGTTAAGAATAATGCATTGGTGGTGTACCTATGCTTTTCTCATCCCATTTGATCCCTATCTCACCAATGCATTATTCTTAACTGGAATACCTGCCTAAACCATCGTGGTTTGACGATTCTGTTACGTTTTTGTGACAGTTTTGTGGCGTTTTTCAAGCATCACTAAACCCGTGACGTTTCTGTGACTTTTTAATTACGTTTTTGTGTCAGTTTTGTGCCGTTTTTGATGCATAGAGAAACCCATGAAGTCTCTGCGACTGTTTGTGACCTTTTGTGACGTTTCCGTGACATATTTCTTTCTACGTCTATACGAGTGGCGGGGCTAAATGGTGGGGCTGAATAGAAACGTCAAGTGTTCGTCAAAGCATCGAAAACGCGACAAAATTGCAACAAAAACGTCACATAATCGTCATACTAAATTTGGTTAGGCAGGTATTCCAGTTAAGAATAATGCATGGGTAAGATATTGGTCGATTGGGATGAGAACAACATAGGTGCACTACTTGCGATATTGTCAAAATAGGTCCGATATATGTGATTCTATTACGACCTTATGTCTTGGTACTGCCTTTGCGCAAAATGCATAGAAACTCTTTGAAAATAAATGAATCACCCTGCATAGAAATGTTTCCTCACAAAAGAAAAAAAAAGAGTCACCTCTCAACGCCTCATCGTCCCGTTCAACGGTTGCATGATATTATTAAAGTACGTCCGCAGGGTCCTGGTACTGCGTCTGCGCCATCATCTGCATGAGGATCTGATTGAAGCCGGCCGTGTTGGTGATGTTGCCTGTTACGGCCCCCGACGTTTGCTGTATTGTCATAGTGATGCACCTATGTCATCTGGAATACCTTCCTAACCCAACTTAATTTGACTATTCTGTGACGATTTTGTGGCACTTTTGTGGCGTTTTTGATGCTTTAACGAACCCGTGACGTTTCTGTGACTTTTTAATGACGTTTTTGTGGTAGTTTCGTGCCGTTTTTGATTCATAGAGAAACCCGTGAAGTTTTTGTGACTTTTTGTGACCTTATGTGACTTTCCGTGACATTTTCTCCCAACGTCTATATGAGTGGCGAGGCTAAGTGGTGGGGCTAAATGGTGGGGCTAAATAGAAACGTCACGGGTTCGTCAAAGCATCAAATACATCACATACCTGCCACAAAAACGTCACAGAAACAACACGGGTTCGTCAAAGCATCAAAAACGCTACAAAATTGCAACAAAAACGTCACAGAATCGTCACACAACGTTGGGTTAGACAGGTATTTCAGTTAAGGGTGCATGGGTTTGGCCGATTGGGATGAGAACAACGGGGCACTACTTGCCATATTCTTAAAATAGGTCCGATATATGTGATTCTATTACGCCTTTGCGCAAAAAGCATAGAAACTCTTTAAAAATGAATGAATCACCCTGCATAGAAATGTTCCCTCACAAAAGGAAAAAATAGTCACCTCTCAACGCCTCATCGTCCCGTTCAACGGTTGCATGATATTATTAAAGTACGTCCGGTACATGGGGTTCTGCTGCGCTCTTTGCAAGGCCGCAGGGTCCTGGTACTGCGTCTGCGCCATCATCTGCATGGGGATCTGATTGAAGCCGGCCGTGTTGGTGATGTAGCCTGTTACGGCCCCCGGGGATTGCTGTGTGGCCATCGGGTAGCCGTTCATGTTGTATGTTTGCATGTGTTGCATGGCGGCGACGTTGGTGGCGTTCCTGCCGGGCCGGGTCAGGTTTTGGCCGATAGGGGGCGTTACGGCACCGCTGAGTTGGTTCACGTTCATGTTCGTCTGATAGTACTTGTGGTAGCCCAACACCTGGCAATAGAAATGATACAGTGATGGACAACAGTGTAGAACCAAGTGAATAGATAGATAGATAGATAATCTTTATTTATTCTTTGATATCGAAGCCTAAAAATAGGCGTGAAACTTGTCAATACAAAATATACAGGGTGTCTGTAAAAGGTTGGGACATGGCCTGTCTGTGGACTCCTGGGATAAAAACAAGTTGATTTTGGCCAACTTACCCATATCCAAAATCGTCTCGTTGAGTTGGTACAAGGCGTTGAAGTTTTTTTGGGAAAAAATAATTTTGCTCATAAAAATAGTAGGCTGAGATCGATTTTCATAATGTTGAGCATGGCATATTCTGTGACTGTAAATCACGTTTTGAGATGTTTTTGATCATCATCAGTGACCTGCAAGTGTTTCAAACAACCATGTTGCCGTACAAATTTGGTGATAACTTTTCAGAGGTGGGACTGGAAACTTCCAGTTTTTTTTTCAGAAAGATGTTCCCTTCAGAAATATATTTTGTATCGTGTTGATTTTTGATAAGTCTCGAGGTCCATTTGCAAATGAATAATTTCTGATATGATGCATCCTGCGCATTTTTGAAAATTAATTCAATTAATCGAACTGTTTATTGATCATGGCTACAATGTATTCTTATTGTAAACAAACTGATATGTTGCTGGTCCTCGCGGGCTTTACAAGAAATCTCGCGTTACAAATTTAGCGATAACTATTCAGGAGCTAAGGTGAGCATTTTAACGCCTTGTACCAACTCAACGAAACGATTTTGGATTTATTTTATTTTCATCCCAGCCGTCTGTCTACAGTCAAACCATGTCCCAACCAGATTATTATTCTGAAAAATGTATAAGAGGCCTCAGATCAGAAATTATTTATTTGCAAATGAACCCCGAGACTTATCAAAAATTAACACGATAGAAAAAATATTTCTGAAGGGAATATCTTTCTGAAAAAAAAACTGGAAGTTCCCAGTCTGACCTCTGAAAAGTTATCACTAAATTTGTACCGCAACATGGTTGTTAGAAACACTTGCAGGTCACTGATGATGATCAAAAACATCTCAAAACGTGACTTACAGTCACAGAACATGCCATGCCAAAAATTATGAAAATCGATCTCAGCCTACTCTTTTTAAGAGCAAAATTTTTTTTTTCCAAAAAAAACTTCAACGCAACGAGACAATTTTGGATATAGGTAAGTTGGCCTGAATCAACTTGTTTTTATCCCAGGAGTCCACAGCCGAGCCATGTCCCAACCTTTTATAGACACCCTGTATAGGTACACAAAAAATAACAAAATATAAAATAATGATAAAGAATAAAATACAGAAATATTACAAAAGTGTATGTAGGACATCAGTTTAGTTCACAGACATAAAAATAACACAAAAATGATGTAGATATATTAAAATTGAATCTATAGTTGCCAACTGCCAGAGAAATACTCTTCTATTGTATAATATGCTTTTGATATAAGAATATCTTTCAGTTTGAGTTTGAGTTTTTTTGGAGGCAATAATATGAGCGATTTTGGTAGCTTATTATAAATTTGTATCGCAGTAAATGGTATATTTTTTTGAACATAACCAAGTTAGTTTCCATATTCCATAAGTGATACTTGTGTCTCGTATGATGTTCATGATGATCTCTACACCTTTTCTAGATGTATTTCAGAAAGCGTCAATTGTATTCCAGAATAGTCAATTGTATTTCAGAAAGCATCAATTGTATTTCAGAATAATCAACTGAATATGAGCGTTACGGAGTGAGAGGCATTGTACTGAAGGTTTTTGAAAATTATCTGTCCAATAGACAGCAGCAAACTAAAATTGAAAATGTATATAGCGACCCAAAAACTATACAAATGGGAGTCCCGCAAGGAACGGTTCTTGGTCCAATATTATTTATTGCATATATCAACTCACTGCTGAAAACTCACATTGATGGCATAACAATATCTTATGCAGATGACACAGTTCTTATCTTCAACGATAAAAATTGGAACGGGGTACGTGAAAAAGCGGAAAACGGAATAGCAATAGTCAAACATTGGTTAGACTATAACAAACTGTCCTTAAATATAAGCAAAACAACATATATAGCTTTCTCATTAACTGATGCAAACCGACCCGAATTCAATGTACTGAAAATTCCAAATACCACATTAGAAATTGTTGAAACCGAAAATGCTACATACTTGGGTCTAACTATTGATAAGAACTTGAAATGGACAAATCATGTCAACAATTTTACCAATAGGATACGCAGATTTACATAAATTTTATGAATTGCGAAAGTTCATGAACGCTAGAACATTACTGATGGTATATAAATCTTTAGTTGAATCAATAATAAGATATGGTATACTCATCTGGGGAGGACTGTATAACAATGTGTTAAATCCGTTGAATGGTGTGCAAAATTGTATACTAAAAGTAAAACTACGTAAAGACAGAATGTATCCAACATCTGAGTTATATAATAATGAAATACTCAATGTAAGGTTGCTATACTTTCACGCGAACTGTCTATTCATTGCTAAAAGTCCTCATCTGAAGAATTATTTGTCACATTCACATAGTACTAGGCAAGTCAAAAATAGATTATTGACTATGCCACAATGTCATAAAGATGCAACTCTTCGATTTGCAACAACTATTGCTCCGAAAATCTACAATACTCTTCCACTATCTATAAGAAATACTAAAAACTTCAAACTATTTTCAAAAAAATCCAGAATCTATATCATCAACAACTCCCGAGAATATATAAATATAATATAACAATCATCTAATGTATATACTCATGAGGTATCATTTGATAATATGTTCAAAACACAAAACTCCATTTCAAATAGCCATGTATTTATTTTATATTTTATTTTCATAATTACATTACTGTTCTAATTATGTAATAGGTAGGAAAGTGTAATTACTTATAACTTATATTATAGGATAGGTAGAATATGCACATACAGGTGTTCACACCTAGGTGCATTCCGAATAAGTATTAACGTTGGAAAATTTATACAACTGTTGATGTAATGCAATTTGTAAAATGTATCATAATTGAATAAATTGAATTGAATTGAATTCCAGAAAGCGTCAATTGTGTATCAGAATAGTCAATTCAATTTCAGAAAGCGTCAATGGTATTTAAGTGTCAATTGTTTTTCAGAAAGTGTCATTTGAAGCAATTGTTATTTTCTGAAATACAATTGGCACCTTCTGAAATTCAATATACTACTCTGAATTAAAATTGACGCTTTCTGAAATTGAATTGACAGTTCTGAAATACAATTGACGCTTTCTGACATACAAGTGACTACTCTGAAATTCAATTGACGCTTTCTAAAATTCAATTGACGCTTTCTGAAATACAACTGGAAAAGGTGTAGATAAGCGAGTAACAAAACTTTCTAACAAGAAATACACCACCTTTGAGAGAAAAACACACCACCTTCAGAAAAAAAACACACTCACCTGTTGCTGCAGATTCGCAGGAACCACCGTAGGCGGCGTCAAATTCCTCCCTCCGCCCTGATTCTGCATCATCTGGTGCGTAGTAGGCGAGGGCGTGGCATGCGGGGGCGGAGTCAACGTCATCCCCGAGGGGGAGGGGCTCATCGCGTTGCACCCCTCCAGGCCGTTGGTCAGCTGCTGCAGCTTGGCCAGGCTGCAGCTCGCGTTGCCCTGCGCGCCTCGCTGATTGGGCGACGGCGTAGAGGCGGGGCCTGGGGCATGCGCGTGCGCGTTGGTCTGTATGTAGAAGTTGGCGCTCGGGCTGACCGCCATCTTTTGCTGGGCATTAGAAGGGCTGACGCTCTGCTGGCCGCCCATACCGTGCTGAATGACGGTGGTCATCGGCGAGACATTGACGCACGAGCTGGTAGATTGCGAGGGAAACGCCTGCGTACTAACGGCCAGAGGGATATAGTTCGCCTGACTTATCACGGGATGGTGATGCGGGTGGTGCGGATGCTGATACTGGTAACTCTGGTGCACCACCTGGTGGTGCAGGTGCTGCGAGTTATGCTGCTGCTGCTGTTGCTGTTGCATGTGCTGCATTTGCTGTTGGGCGGCGCAAGGAGGCGTGGCCCGCTGCTGCACTACCTGTTGCGCCACCTGTTGCGCCACGGCAGTGGGCGGAGTTGAACGATGCATGTTGTGCGTTTTATTAGAAGGCGTGTTCGATCGGTTCCTTTGCGACTGCGCTTGGCGTTTGTGGGTGATTTGCATGGCCTGGTTGGTTTGTTGCATGTTGTGCTGCACAGAGCAGTCGTAGTTGGTTTGGGGCGTGGTTTGAGAGGGCGGGGAAACGGAGGCGGGGGAGGAGTCGAGCGTTAGAGGGGCGGGATCCATTTCGCATTGGGCGTAGTGCATACCGAGCACGGGATTGGTCGCGGAGTCGGGCGGGTACACGCCCATCGACGGTAGGTCGTTTTGTTTGACAGAGTGTTGCATCTGCTGCTGGTGCGAATCGTGTTTTTGCTCGATCTCGGATTTGTTCTTGGCCTTCTCCATATTCGAGTTAGTTGGATTTGGGTCGGTTTTAGGCATGTTGTATGAGCAGCTAGCGGGTTTCGGTAATTCGTTACTCATTTTCATCGAACTATAAGCATCTTGTTCAGGTTTTTGCTTGCTTCTCTCTTCTTTTCTGGGAGAGGGGTGTTTTTCTCTTGAGGGGTCTCTGGCTCTTGAGCTGCTGCTTTGACTCGAATGTTTGTGCGATTTGGTGACGTGTTTCTCCTTTTCGCAACTGGGCTGTTTGGGAAGCATGTCCAAAGGAGCGAACTGGGGGATCATGTGGTAACCTTGGAAATCCCTTTTGTTGTCATAGTAGATACTTTTGCCCCAGGTTAGCCTGTCCCATTGCCAAGGCAGTTGCGCTTGCGTCATGTGATGGTAGTTTTGAGTGGCTATGGCATTGGCGAGCAGACTTTCGCTGTCCATGTGCATTTTTTGTATGTCGTAGGTGGGTTTTTCTTCGTGGGGAATTTTTTGGTGGTAACGTTTCTCCTCGTACTTTTCCGGTTTAGATCTGCTCTCCGATCTGATTGTCTCTTGTTTTGCAGCTGCTTTCTGTTCCTCCTTTAACCTCACTTCCTTCGGGTTCATTTGAGTGGGCTGTTTCAGTTCTTTAGGAGAAGACTTTTCAGGGATGGCATTTCCTTGTTGAGGCATTGCAGAAGCATGTTTTGTACTTTGCAAATGTTGCTCTGGCTGTACGTAAATCGACTGATTTCCTTGACTCTGATGGCAAACCGGGATGGTATTCTGTTGCTGAGGCAATGGTTGTTGGACTTGGTTTGGATGTGATTGAATGGGATTCTGTTGTGATGAAGGTTGTTGAGCTGGTAACCGAGGCAATGTTCTTTCCATGACCTGTTTTTTGATCACTGATTGTTCGTTATACTGATTGCCCATCATTGAATGTTGACTTGTTGTGATGAGTTTTTCGCTGACGAATTCAGAGGGCACGATATTGTGATTGCTGTTGTGGATCACGCGTGTTTCAGTTTGCGGTTCACTAGTCGAGACTTTCTTGAATTCTTGCACATCCGGCTTGGTATCATGCCCAATATGTGCCATCTCTTTCTGCGAGTAGTTTTGTTCCAGTTTTTCCACGAATTTCTCAGCCACAATTTCTTGTATTGTTTCTTCTCTTCTTTGGATTGAGGTTGCGACTTCTGCGGTTCTTTGGCTTGAAGTTGCGACTTCTGCGGTTCTTTGGCTTGAAGTTGCGACTTCTGCGGTTCTTTGGCTTGAAGTTGCGACGTCTGCAGTGTGAACTTGATTGATTGCTTGGTTTGAAGTCGTCGGTATTTCTACCGGGTGGCTGATTACTAAAGGCGTTTCGTGAACCTCCTTCTTAACGCCGATTTTTTCCGATAGCGGTATAATTATATTTTCGACTGGCGCATCCACCTTATTTATGTCATTGAATGGTACAGGCTCCTTATCACTTTCTGGCACAAGTACAATATTAGGATCTAGTGCAGTTTTCTTCTCTTCTTGCGGTGCATAAGTATTGCCGTCGACAGCTTCACATTTTCGAGGAACTATTTTCTCAGTATCCTGTTTATTCTCCATCAGAGGTACAATTTCCTCCACTTTTTTCACTTCATCAACATGTTGCACTTTCACAACCTGTTGAATTTTCTCGACCTGTTGTACTTTCTCGACCTGTTGCACTTTTTCGACCTGTTGCACTCTTTCGACCTGTTGCACGTTTTCGACCTGTTGCACTTGTTCAACCTGTTGAACTTCTTCAACTTGTTGCACTCTTTCCACCTGCTGCACTCTTTCAACCTGTTGCACTTCATCAACCTGTTGCATTTCATCAACCAGTTGCATTTCTTTGACCGGCGATTTTCGGTCGGGCGTTATGATGGTGTTCGTTTCATTATGTTCCATTTTCTCGATTTCCATATCGGTGGACTTCCTTCCTGATTCCACTGACGAATTTCCAGCATCCAACGATATTTCCTCAACAATTTCCTTCTCAATTTCCAGGGCACTAGAGGGAGCTACCTGCTGTTCGCTTTCGATAATTTTCGGCTCTTCTTTGACGGGTAGAGAAATCGTTTCTGCCTGTTTCATGCGCGCCATCGTCAGATTGTTCTCGTAGACTTCCCTTCGAGAAATGGTTTTGATTTTTTGACCGTCGATTTCCATCTCGGATTCGGAAGTTGTCGTATACAACGGCGAGTTGAGTTTTTCTTTCGGCGAAATAGTTTTGAGTTCTTCGCTAATTTTGGGTGGCGTTTTCTGAACGTGTGCCGCAGCGTTGTTTTTATCTTTCGTAGGGGTGGTTTTGGTGAATTTGTATTTGCTGTTGGGAGAAATTTCTTTTTGCACTGGTAGCTCGTCGTTTTCCATTTCGTCATCGGCTTCAGCGCTGGAATCTTCCTCGGTGGATATTCTCGAGGCTCTCCTGATTTTTTCTTCCTTCCTATTTTTGACCCTCTCCTTTTCCGGGGACTGGGGTGTATTCGTGTTCGGGACTTCTTTTTCCATAGTTTCCATGTCTGACTTATCGGAAATCACTGATTCGCTCTCGCTATCCTTCCGAAGCATATTCTTGATGAGATCAGGCAAAATCAATTGTTTTTTGTCTGAGAGTTTTCCTCGAGCTCTACCCTTCACCCAGCCTCGTTTTTTCTTGACTGTTCTCACACGTTTCTGAGCCTGCTGAGGTGCGACTGGGGTGACATCGATGGATTCTTCTGCTGGTTCCTTGTTCTCCTTAACTTCGACTGGTTTTTCCAGTTTTGGAGGTTCTTCCAAAGCAACAGTCTCTTCGGTTTTGGGTATGTCTGAGTCTTTAGCTTCTTTTTCTTTCTCCTCCAATTCTCGCTGTTTCTTGACCCGTCTCTGAGACCATCGTTCACCTACGACTTTTTCTTTCGTAGCAGCAAGTCTCTTTGGTCTATTGTTGGAATTTGGTGTGGTCAACTTGGAGAGCTCGTCAACCTGAAAATATAATACGAAAATATGAATGGCTGATTCCAAATCAATAAATTTTTAGAAATACCATCAAAATTGGAGACCACATTGTGAATATAGTTCAGTTAGTTTAGTGAGGAGTCGTTGGACTCTTCATCACCTCGACCAGTATCTTTAGTTGATAACCTCAAACAAATCAGTTAGCTGATTTTACCTGTATAATATATATATAAGCACATAGCTGTTACTTTGGTCACAAAAGTCTTCTCAATCATGCTTGATGTACATAACACAGCGTTTATTGTGGAATTGCCATTTGTGGTTAGGCAAATTGATAGAAAGTGAAGATCATTGGATAATTCCTAATATTTCAGCAAATTTCAACTATAGTCTTAAAGAATCCCGAAATTAGTTCACTGCAGATGAGCTTATATTAAAAAGCAGTATATTTTCCCGAATTCTTCCTCATTCCTATATTTTCCCGAATTCTTCCTCAATCCCTGTTTTCTTTTTTTTTTCTCTTCTTAAGCTGCTTTTTTCTAACATTTTATTATACTTGCCACATTGAGATATTTTGTCGATTTTTGTTTTTTTGAACCCCATAAAATAATGTTGATTCTTGAAAATCCTCAATGTTTTTTTTGATAATACTTTTCATGTACTTTGCTCATAATTTATTGAAGGAAGAAGATATGGGATTCTTTCTTCCGCCAAATTAATTCATTCAGCTCTTAACTCGCATGCAGTGGCGTCACCAATCAAATTTGAATTTTCATTGAAAATTGATGATTTCGAAAGCAAAGTAGTTTATCGTGATATAAGTAACCAATTTGCTTGCATTTAATAATCGTTCAAAATCGTCAATTTTCAAGGAAAATTCAAATTTCATTATGACGCCGCTGCATGCGAGCAAAATTAAATAATTGTCTAGGACATGTTGAAAATTCATGACAATCATGTCCTTAAAGATGCATATATTAAAAAAAGGTTGCACAAAATCCAGTCTATCAGTTAACTTCACTTTTCAAATATGCCAGAATAGAGGGTGCTTAAAATAAAGGTAGGTAAAATAATTTGGGTTTTGTTCAATAGAAAATGTTCTTAATGTCGTCCTTATTCGATTAGACAGTAAAGACCCTTACGGAAAACAGTAGTTTCAGTCAGCAGTCGTGTCCTAAAAATCGCAGTGCGCCTGTCCACTCGTGGCTAGTATGCGCAGTTGCTCAGCTAGCAGGGCAGGTGTTTTGTTTACACTTCTTTGAATTATATGCCTTTGTGATTCATTTTACTATGTTAGGGGGTATTCTTTTGAAAAATGTTTGCAGCAATATACTTTTTTTGATATATGAAGCCTATGCAAAGTCAGAAACAGACCTGGTTGATGAAGGAATGCATTCACATTTCAGAGCATATGAAAATTTTGCTGAAGATTCATATGAAAATTTAAATATATACCTCAACCTATACCTTTCATGCCTAGGAGTATGTGAAAATATATTTGGTCCAAATTTTCCTGATTTTTCAGTCCAGCCTAAGTAAAATTCTGCGAATACATCCATGTGAATATTTTCCACTTTATCATTTCAACAGTTTGTTTATTCAAAGAAGGATTTTTTATACTCTGGAGTTTATGAACAGAGTTATCACAACCAGGAAGTAAAAAACAAAATTCAAAATTGAATGTTGTGCAACATTTATATTCTTCATCATTTCAGATTTAGTTATCATAATGATCATATTCAATCAGATTATATTTTAACGACCCTCTCAATTCTCAGTATGTTTATTCCAAAAAAATTATATTGAAATTGAAATCAGTTTTTGTATGATCTAAATTTCAATTTTTTTACGAGTGGTAAGTGCGTAGATAGGCTATTTATTTGTTTTGAGGTCGAACCTGTTCACATAAAATTTAGGGACTTCACAGCATTCCTCAGTGATGACGAGCGAGTTGTCATTGGCTTGTCATTGGCTCGACCAAGCCCGTAACGCGCAAGTCTGCGCGTGGTGGTATGCGCACTGGTCTGGCAAAAAATAAAACTTCTGGACACCAACATCAAATGCTCCGATGGAAGTGAAATTACTGTTTTCCGTGAGTGTCTATAATGTGTTAAAGGTGTTGTAAAAAAATGTTGCACACATTTTTCACCATCATGTCGAAACAACTGGCGAATTGTAATGAATATCTGTATGAATATGTTTCCAAAGAAGACACATTGCAGGAATTTGTTTTTATATATGACACTCTGAAAAGCGCTAATTATATGGTTCACGGTTCGTATGGAACAGTTTTGAATATTGGCTTTTGAGGTTAGATTTTCTAGCCCATCTTTCATATAAACATCATCTTATTTTACACCGAAAGAGTACTCTTGGTGAAACTTGATACTGTGTAGATTTTCTAGCCCATCTTTCATATAAACATCATCTTATTTTACACCGAAAGAGTACTCTTGGTGAAACTTGATACTGTGTAGATTTTTCGGAACCTTTTTAAATTTTTTCTACCGTTTTTCCTTTCAAAGTGCTGAGATATAAAGTTTCAACCACGTTGTATGACACATTCTTAATAATTGAAAAAAAAAAGAGTGACCTTCAGAGTGTCCTCCTGAACTAAATATGATATACACGTCGGCCACATTTGAAGAATTGTGCAATTGTATTGAAAAAAATAAAATTAGTATGTTTTTATAATCGATCATTTCTAATCTACCTAACCTGATTATTTTCAGAAAAATCGAAGAATTTCGAAAACTATGATAGATAGATATAAATTAGAGTCCCTGTATGTATTTGACACTTTTGCTGTAATAAGAGTACGGACACTATGACAAGGAGTGACAGAAGGCATAACCCTAAAAAATTTGAAATGACATGAACAATTTGGCGGGCACTGACAGTTCATGAACGTACATGACAATAAATTATTTGAAAATTCAGGTTTTCAAAAATTAAAATGTCTAATTGTGTAGTGGAGAATTGTAAAAATGGAAGCGAGTCCTTTCATTTATTCCATTTCCCCCATTCTAACCAACAAGTACGTATATACCCTTTGTTAAGTATATCGAGAAATACTTTCAACAAATTGATTTACAAACTATGACCCCTTATCGCCAGTGAGATGAGACGCCACTTCTTTATGAAAATAAAGACAGAGAAAGATATATGGATGTACCCTTCACCGCGGCAGTAGAGGATAGAAGATCCGAAGTGCATGGAAAAGCATATCCATGTCTTTGTTCAAAAGTCATTTTTAGAATTTGGGGTTATGCCTTCCGTCACTGCTTGTCATAGTCTTATTACAACAAAACTGACAAATATATACAGGGAATTATACATACAGGGACTCTAATATAAATTAGGCTAAACTCAGAATTAGAAGGTCCATCAAAACGAGTGAAAAAAAATGGAAATAATAAAGTTGGTGCTTACTTTTGGCACACCCTGTATTCCCAGGTATACAAATATTTCCGATATATTGGAAATTATCCATTAGAATAGAAAGAATACCAATTTTCAAGTTCTTAATCCTACTGTAAGTTAGAAAACTCTCAATATGTACAGAAATCACACTGTATGATAATGGGCTTATATCACAAAAATTTCCGTTTCTTGCTGTGAGCTCCCTACGTTTTATAAAAAACTATTGATATCCCCGATTTTTCGGACCTCTGAAAACGAGACGATAATGTGACGTCAAAACCCTAATACTGAAACAAGACTATTCCAGACAGAGATGAATGATACATGATTTCTGACAAAGCACCAAGATTGGTGAATCGGCAAGTTGATATTTGGGACAAAGATAATAAGAACAAGAAGAAGATCAATTCTAACCTATATTAACTTTTTGCAAATCGCGAAACTTTCAAATATTAAATTGAAATATTTCGACAAAAGTATGATAAAGAAATGTTTTGTGCCTAATTGCAATTATAAAAACATCATGTAGCTGGGAATTTTGGGAACAAATCTGGCCTCTCACTGGGTAAACACAATATTATAGTAGTAGTAGTTTTGCTTTGCAGAAATTCATTGGGAAATTGCTTGAAAAATAAATGATCCATCTCCTAGAAGAACATTCAGGGGGAGATGCAAGTAGTATCTAGTCTAGGGAATAACCATACATTGTTTCATACCAATTGATCATATTGTTGCATAGGTAAACATATCAATCAGTGACTGATTTAATGAGGATTCTCCATATGATGGGTATTCTTATGTTGAATATCCTTTCAGGTGAATAATTTTCCAATACAACTATAATAGGTACAAGCAATGAGAATTGAATGAATATTGTGGAATTTACCTTTCAGATTTTCTATTCCTCACTTCAGCACTGAGGAACTGTATGTTAGAGACATCATTAACCAGTTCCAAATCAATTTTTGGAAGATTATCTGATGAGCCTTTTACAAATCCTGATTCAACGTTCATGTTTATATTCAATATATCAATATAATATAAAGCAAGATTTGGATGTTAATTTCATTTCGTGTCTTCTCTTCTCATTTTAGACAACATAAATAACTTCGGAATCGGAATTCGAGACTCGATGCAAATGCAGCTCCATGGAAAACGAGTCAACAAAGCAATGTTGTTGCATTTATTAAATGTCTTGGAATATTGTGAAATTGTAATGGTGCACATGATTTTGAGATTGAGACATTACGTTGTCTAGAGATTGTTTATATTCCAATGATTCAACCTACCAATCGACAACTTGAATATATTTTTCTGCAGTAGTGGTAGTGGATATCACGCTAATTGGTTCCAGGCAAGATGAGGTTTCTACGTCATAAGAGGGTCCGTTTTCAGAAGGTACTATTATTTATGTCCAAAAATAAAACATTCCAGTTAATTTTTCGATCAAATTATGTTGTCAATCATTATTCATTCATAAAAGGATCATTATGAACATGGTTTGAGTAGAAAGTTCTACTAAGGTGTACACGCCCATTATTATGTACCTTCTAAAGTTTTTAAAATGCTTGAAGTTTTGTATCTTGATAATTTTTTCCATATATTTTTTTTATATTTCATTCAACTAGTAGTATTCAGAAAGGTTCGAAAATACTTGTAATCTGATTAATTGTTATATTCCAATGTAATTTTATGAAATTTTGTCTACTGAGTCCTAATTGGTTCCACATTTCTATGAAGTCTGACAGTTAATAGTTAATTGATAGTGGATTAAATTTATTTTATATGTAATTTAGCATGTTAAATATTATTTAAAAAATGGGTTGCCTGAAAAAATCCGGGCAATGCAATAATTATCGATTAAAAATTGATTGAAAATTCGAATTCAAAAAGAAGAAAAAGGATTTTTGAATTTTAAATCAATAATAGCCTGGCCAGGATTTTTTCAGGCAACCCATTTTTTCAATGATATTCAACTTGCTAAATTACTTACAAAAAAATTTTCATCCAATAAACAGATGGGTGAAGGTCGACCTTACTCCAGATCTTGGACTATAAGCGTTGCTGTGCTTCTGAACCCCACAAAAAAGTAGACATTAATTCAGAAAGAATTTCACGTTTAGGCCACATAAATGAATAAACCAAGTAATATACAACAATGGACATAAAAACTCACCGTCTGCGACGTCTTCGGAGTTTGTTCGGCCACTCTGGCAGCACCCCTTCGAGGAGTCCTCACATCAGCCGTCCCACCCTCCTCCACCTTCTCAGCCTTATCCTCCTCAACTTTCGCCCTCTTCCTCTCCGAAGCCTCCTCCCCACGCTTCCTCTTCCCCACACTTTCCTCGACCACTTTCGGTTTCGCGTCCGCGACAGTCGTTTTCGTCTTGGCGTCCGCAACAGTCGTTTTCGGCTTGGCGTCCGCGAAAGTCGTCTCGTTGAACTTGCTCGGTCGCGTCCGCTTCCTGCCCGACGACGTGATCTCCACCTCTTCGACGTTCCCGGAACTCTCCACCGGAACCACCACCGGAGTCTTGGCGGCTCTCGGGGTCTTCGGGGCGACCGAAATCCTCCGCTTCTTCCCTCTTTTCAACTTCACGCCCGGTGTCTCGATTATTATCTTCTCCTGCATCGGTACCACAATGTCCGCCGTTTCTTTTACGGGACTTTGGTCTTTTTCCTCGTCTGATTTGGGTTCTCGCCTGAAGGGGTTTATAGCGGAGGAAACTAGGGGCGTCCAGCGCAAACACTCGTAATCGATCGGGATGCGCGTTTTTGATTTAGAAACTCGCTCCGCATGGCTGTCAACTTTGGCCCAATCCACACAAATAACTGACTTTTCTCCCTCGTCTGTCGGCAAATACTTGATGAAGCCGAGCAATTGCAAGGCTAAAGCGATGTCGTGGCAATACATGCCGGAGGATTTGCTGATGGCGGTTAAGTCGAGTTTTTCGTCGCGGTGGTCGTTGAGGTATTCGAGCACGACGGATTTCCAGTAGGCGTAGTAGGAAACTTTGCCGAGGTCGGATAGGGGTTTTTCCGGGGTGCCGGGTTGGCCTTCTTCCTTGGACAGGAGGTAGCCTGGAACCGGTGAAAATGGGATTCATCAGCAATGTGGGATTCAAAAGAATAGTAATTTATACGCCAAGGTAATCAAGAATATCAGTATCACACTGGGACCAAGATTATATCCCAAGGCTTCAGCCGAGGGGTCCCGTTATAATATTATTCTTTGATACCAAGGTGTAACAGGGTGACACAGGAGACATGTAATAGCCTGTAGTTCTTTCATTTGAATAGATAAAAACTTGAAATTCACAAGGGTTATATTATCGATGCTGGCCCTTCCCTTGAACCCAATGACAATTTTCTTCAACCACCTGTTCGATCGGAAGTAGACCCACCTTTTTTTCAAACGGCACCCTGTATATTTCTGTAGCCTATCGTATTTGCCTTGAAATTCTCTAATGACAATTTTCTTCAACCACCTGTTCGATCGGAAGTAGACCCTGTTTTTTTCCAAACGGCACCCTGTATATTTCTGTAGCCTATCGTATTTGCCTTGAAATTCTCTATTCAACTATGTATCACATTTTGATATTCGTTCATTAATTCGATGTTGAATTGCATTTTATTGAAATACATGAAGTTGGCTGTGGCCCCAATACAATGACATCTCGATGCTTGATAGGCTTAGAAATCCAAAGATCATTACTCAGACGATATATTATGATTTCATTGAGTTTAAAAAAATCACCCGAAAATAACTCACGGTATTGAGGAAACTAAGATAGAAACTCACTTTTTTCATTTGGCTACTTGTGGAGAAACTATTTGTCTTTAATTTTTGGCATGTAGCCATGATATGATCATCCATTTGAAAACATGAAACTGAAATTGTTGTAATAATTGATGTATTATTGTCCTAATATCGTGAGTTATGCTCGGATGATTTTTTTTAACTCAATGAAATTATTGGCAATCTTCTGGGACCGATAAGGGTATGGAAAATATTCTGATGTGATAATCTTTGGATTTCTAAGCCTATCAAGTATCGAAATGTTATTGTATTCAGGCCACAGCCAAGTTCATGTATTTCAATAAAATGCAATTCAACAGCAAATTGATGAAGAGTGATACATAGTGGAATAGAGAATTTCAAGGCGGATAAGATGAATTATAGAAATATACAGGTCGCTGTTAAAAAAAAAAGTCGGGTCTACTTCCAATCAAACAGGTGGTTGAAAAAAATTGTCATTGAGTTCAAGGAGAGCACCATCATCGATGATATATTCCTTGTGAACTTCAAATTTTTATCTCTTCAACTAAAAAAACGACAGGCTGTCTCCTTTGTCACCTGGTATATTACATTTTTTCACCACTAGCAGTAAATCTCAATAACTATAGTTGTGTGAAACTGAAATATGGACCTTTAGTCACTATGAAAGCATTTCTTATATTAATGGTAGGTTCTAGGGCTAGTGGTGGAAAGAAGATCTTATTACTTATTTTTTTTAAATAAGTATAACGGACAGAGAGGCATGGAAGAAAGGACCACCTATCAATGCAGACATTGCTGTCTATACGGACGGCTCCAAAACTGATGAAGGATCAGGAGCTGGTATTTATGGGGCCAAGCCAAAGACAAGAATCTCACTGAGCTTAGGCAAATACGCGACGGTGTTTCAGGCAGAAATTATTGCAATACATCATTGCAATCTAATCAGATAGCCAGGCGGCAATCAAAGCAGTCAACTCTATGCAAAATAACTCAAAACTAGTATGGGACTGCTTAGAAACCCTAAATGCACTGGGCAGTCAGAACAGATTGACTCTAGCATGGGTACCAGCACATACAGGGTACGAGGGCAATGAAGAGGCAGACTCACTTGCCCGAGCAGGAGCAAACAAAGCTCTGAATGGCCCAGAACCCTTCTGTGGTATTCCGAAAGCTATACAAAAGACTAGTATCAACTCATGGATGCAAACCAAATCTCAAGAATGGTGGAACAACTCGCCAGGAATGAGACAGGCTAAAGAGTTTATTCAAAAACCATCGCCAACATTCACAGAATATCTACTAAGCCAGAAACGAAGTTCAACTAGAATACTAGTGGGACGTCTCACAGGGCATTGTAGGCTCAACAAACACATGAGTACGATAGGTCTGACTGAAGAACTGCTGTGCAGGTTCTGTCAAGAAGAGGAAGAAACAGCAGTACACATACTTTGCCACTGTGAGGGCTTGTCAAGACTAAGGTTCCTTACGCTGGGTGAGGAAAAACCAGGAGCCCAGAGATACACAGGAGATTTGAAAGCTAGCCTATGGAGTCTCATAGAGAAGGCGGGGCTAGCCGAAGAACTCTAATCGATTTTGAGGGCAGACACAATAGATCTGAAAAGGTCGCAGTGTGGAGGCAGATAGCCCGAAGGCCCCATTCCAAATCTAATCTAATCTAATCTATTACTTATTTTGAGTTTACACGGAATTGGATTGGATTGAGGATGTACATACAGTATAATATTGAATAGAGAAATATATAACAGAAGCTGAAACATTCATCAGCTTCTATGTGATGAGGAAAATATATTGAATATTGATGAAAAGTAGTGAGTATGGATAGAGTAGTAGAAATCAGCGACAAAGAATAAAAATGAAAAATGAGAAAATATCCAATTTATACAAAACAAACCTAATATTGAAAGGTATAACAATAGGCTAATGAACTGGTATTGCATTTTTCATATTCAACAATCAGATTGTGTTGTTACATACCTCAAAAGATTTTTCCGACTACTTTAAGTGATGAGTAGGGCGATCGCACGGTTATCATAGAGGTATTTTGATAGATGAATTTATTTTGGTGCTAGGTAGGTACTTATATTTTTATCAATAAATCAAGTTATCAATCGAAACTGAAAGCAGACAAGTAAAAAATGTCAAGCGATGAGGACCAGAAATCCTGGAGAGAGCAAAAATGGCAACAACAACAATTATTCAATCAAAGAAATGAAATACAATAGAATTCAATGTATTACAGGCTGAAGGACTTCGGTCGGTGGCAGATTGGGTAACCAGTAAAGCACTTTTATTATTATTATTATTTGGCAACAAAAAAGGTTCTACCCGTGAAGTCTCGTGGAAGATACGATATCGCTTGCAAGAAATTACTCTGGAATAATAGCATGTCATTTTAGGAAAATATTCTGTTACTTTCAACAACTGCACAGTGACTATAAATAACCATTATAATAATGTTATATGTTTATCGAATGTATTTTTTCTTCATAAAACTGGTAGATTCAAGATCAATTACTGAAAACATCCTGCAAATCATTTGTATACTAACATCACCACTCATCCATATGCCAACATCAGTAGGTCACTGTGTGTCACTGACAAGCCATTGGGTTATTATTTCAGACTCCCTGATAGAAAAATTTGTTAAACACAGTGACACTTTTGGGGCAAATCATCTGATTCGTCCTACTACACATATATTGAAATAATAAAGACAGAATATCGAAGACAAAATATCGAAAAACCGAATATCGAATGGAAAAAATGTCGAACGGAAAAAATGTCGACTGACATAACAGCGAACGGAAATATCATCGAATTACATAATGTCCAAGGGAAAAAATATCGACACAGTATATTATCGAATAACAAGATATCGAAAAGGAAATATTATAAATAATAAAACAACTGACTTTGATAAGTTGATTTGAAAGCTGGTGTCGAAATGTCTTCGAATTTTCAATATGTTCCTAGCCAAAAGGGAAATAATAAACTATATCACAATTTATACACCCGCCAGAAACAATCAGACACGGTCAGTTATTGGAAATGTGAGCAATGGAAAATCAATGGATGTAAAGGAAGAGCTATCAGTGTAGATGGAATAGCAACTGAGAAAAATGATCACAACCATACAGGAACACCATCGAAATTCGAATTAGCTACAGGATTAAACAAATTGAAGCAAGATGCAAGAAGAAGTAAAGATTCTCCGCAAATGCTAATTTCGAATCTTGCCGGAACCATCAGTGAGCCTACACTTCCTCAGCTACCATCTATAAGTAGTATGAAAAGAACTATCCGACATATCAGACAGAAAGAAAATAGAGGCCTGGAAGTTCCGACTAGTCGAACAGAGTTTAACATTCCCGAGGTATATAGAAAAACGGAAAAAGGTGAAAATTGGTTATTATTCGACTCTGGTGTAGAAGATAGAAGGATGATAATATTTGCGACACCATCTAATATTGACCATTTATCAAGAAGTAAGAACTGGTTTATAGATGGTACTTTCAAAACCGTACCGTCAATCTTCTACCAATTATTCACTATTCATGGTGAGATTGGAAACATAACAGTACCATTGGTATACGCCCTGCTGCCAAATAAAACCGAAATCACCTACAAGACATTTTTTGAGAAAGTAAAAGATTCAATGACTTCATTATCTTTAGAGTCCGTCACCACCGATTTCGAAATAGCAATGATAAATGGTTTCAAAAAGGTATTTCCGAACATTAAACAATACGGTTGTTTTTATCATTTCAAACAATGTATTAATAGGCAAATTCAAAAATATGGATTTAAAACTCGCTACGACACAGATTCTGAATTCCAATTTTGCATCAAATTGCTATAGGCAATCGCATTCGTTCCAGAAACCTTCGTGGTGAAGGTTTTTGACATCATATGTGAACGAAACTTGATTCCACAAGAAGCACAACCTATAATTGATTATTTTGAGGATACCTGGATTGGTAGGAGACCTACACGAAAACCCATCTTCAACCATTCGTTGTGGAACTGCTACACTAGAGCACTGCATAAATTTCAAAAAACGAATAATGTAGTTGAAGGCTGGCACAGAAGCCTAATGAGCCAATTCCATGCGAAGAACCCATCCATATGGAAATTTCTAGAAGGTATCCTAAGAGAACAAAGTATGACAGAATTGAAAATATCTCATGAAATGTCGGGTCAAAAAGAACCCAAAAAGAGGAAATACAAAGATTTAGCCAGGAGATTGCAAGCAGTAGTTCGCTCTTTTAATGTATATTTCGATGAAGACGACCCGATTTTTTTCATTAATTACGTTAAAAGTATTGTAAATAACATAATTTGAAAATCACATACTGATAATCGTGTAATATTTTCATTCCTATTTCTCCACCTTCTTGGAATTAAAGTGAATCCCTATATTATGAGGATTATTTAATTTCATTCTAAAATGGACACTAAAATTAATACTGGACATGTGATTTTGTTCTTTGAGTTGTATCAATTTTTTTTATATCGAATCAATGCATACTATGAAAAGTATTTTATTCATAATCCATAATAAATTAATCGTCCTCTAACAATTCGCAAAAAAGACAGGTCAGTTTGTTCAGAATTGGTAGCGTCAAGTTTTCAACTTTTTTCATACAGGTTTCTTCGTTCAGGATATTTCATCTTTACATAAGTATGAACCTACATTATAAAGTCTACTCGAGAATTTGAAAAAGGTGGAAGATGCTCGATATCTTGTTCTTTGATATTTTGTAATTCGATATTTTCTTCCATCGATAATTTGATTCTCGATATATTTTCCATTCGATATTTTTCACGTTCGACATTTTTCCGTTCGATATTTTTTCCATTCGATATTCGGTTTTTCGATATTTTGTTTTCGATATTTTGTCTTTCGATATAATGTTTTTCAATAAATTTTCACTGACCCCATAAAAACGAGGAGAGAAAATCCCAAATAATCAAATTGATAAACAAATCAGTATAAATTAAAAAAAAAAAACATGACAATCGAAAAAATCACACGTTAATTTGAACTCTGATTACAGCATGCACTTACTGAAATCAATGAGGAACCTGCCGTACCCCTGCCGCTGGTACTGCGGCATCGTCATGATGCACGACACGTTGTACTTCTGCACGCAGTGCTTCTCCTTGGAAAAGTACCCGATCAGGTGGCAGCCCTTCTTGTCGTTCACCGTCAGCACGTAGAACAGGAAGGGCTCGACGTCGTAATAAAGGGTCTTGTGGTCGAGGAACAGCTTGGCCAGCAGGCACAAGTTTTGACAGTAGATCTTGTTGACGTTGCCGTCGACTTCGAACACTGACAGCTCCTTGCAGCGGTAAATTTCGGTAGCGGGAGGATGTCGCCACGTGCACTTTTGAGAAAAGTAATGATTTTATTCAGTATCAGCATTCACAGTAACGACAGACAGTTGCATTGCCTAGGTTCAAGTAGTACCCTATGACTTTTCAAGAGCTGCAATACATAAAAAGAGCGTTGATTCTAGCGGGGCAAAGTGGCCACGTGCACTTTTGGAAGAGGAGATGAATTTATTCAGTATAAACATCAACAGAAACGACAGGAAGTTGCATTGCTGAGGTTCAAGTTGTATCCTGCGACTCTTTAAGAGCTGTGATATATGAAAAGAGTGACGATTGTGTAACCTGAATAATGCTAGAAGTTGACCAAAAAAAGGGCAGTAGTTCCGATTATTTTAAAAGTTTAATAGAATCCGAAATGACGTTTGATAGAAATGTAACAAGCTCTGGCACTCTAGTAGTAGATCAGGTGGCACCCCTCCCTGTCGTTCACCGTCAGCCAGCAGGCACAAGTTCTGACAGTAGATCTTGTTGCCGTCGACCTCGAACACCTACATCTCCATGCAACGGTAGATTTCATGCTTTTTTAGGAAATGATTTTATTCAATATCAGCATCAACAGAAACGACATAAAGTTTCATTGCTGAGGCTTAAATAGAACCCTATGAAATTTTAAGGGCTATGATACATAAATAGATCGATGATTTTAGCAGAGCATACTCACCACATGTACTTTTGAGAGTATGATTTTATTCATTATCAACATCATCAATAGTGCTAGAACGTACTAGAATTTAAGAACCCGACTAGTTTGTATCGGAAATGACGAAATCTTTTTTTTTTGGAACGACAACAGAACGAATGACATATCATCATTCCAGCAGTTCTAGTGCCATAGAATTGACAGGATAGCAACTTTTGGCTGTTGAAATATGTTTAATGTCTCATACATGAGTAATAAGTACACGAATATCCAAAAGATACTCATAACTACAAAAATAAACAGTCAATAAATTATTAAAATAATAATACCTTGTCTTGGTGCCTCTCTAGTACAGCCTTGCTCTTCGTATATTTGAGGCAAAACTCGCAGAGGAACAGTTTCGGCAATCGCGCGTACTCCTGCGGAAAGGGGCTGGAATACCAGGTCTGGATCTCGTATTTGCCGAATTCTATAGCGGCAGGGCACCTATTCCCAGAAATGAAATGAGAAGTTAATGATGTAACTGAACGCCTCGACGGCTTGCTAAGAATATTTGAAACAAAATTTTCTTTGTAGATATACTTCCGATGCATATTTATTAACAAAATAGTATGCTTTGAAGTTATTATATTAAATAAGATACTGAAACATTGGAATCTTATCATACAATAAATAATAATCTGTATTGCCGGGGTAGCAACCGGGTGGGACCAATTCCCACCCCCCTCTCACAAGACTCCCACAGGGATGACTGCCGGTCCTTATCTTTCGACTTCACCGACAACACCCCAGAGAGAAATGGAGGATTTGGATATGCCAAATCAGCGCGCTAGTGTCATATCCATTATGTAACGGCATGTTCTCTTGCTACCATTTTATTATACCAATGGTGAGGCCGTCTGATAAGACAAACTACTGGCTCTGCAGTGTCAGTGCCCGAGGTAGAAAAGCTGCTCACCCGCCGAGGCAGGCAAGATATCCTCCCACTTGACTCATAGTGGGATTCTTCTTCACCTCCTCTACCGTAGTCCGGTGTTTTTGGAAACCGCTGCCCCCTGGAGGCCAACCCAATTGGTGAGGCACCAGGCCGACCTGATGGGGCTATCCTCATCACCCCAGGTACCCATGTCAACAAGATTCCTCTTGTTACGTTTGATGGGTTGCCGTCGCAAGATGCTTTGGCCTATTGCTACTCATGTTGACAATAATCCTCTACTCCCGTTGAATGAGTGATCGTTCGAGGACTTTCACACGTTTCTCTACCTCGTTTACAGGAGAGGACCCAGCTTTGCCTACGATAACTGGCGGTAGGATCGCTTTGGGCTGCCCCCTCCCTGACGAACTAAGGCACAAGGTACACCAGAGTTCCAGTTTTCGCTGAGCAAGCCCAGCTACCCATGTCGATCGGAATCCTCCAGTCCCGTTTGATGGGTGTCCGTTCGCGGCCTTTCCCACGTAGCTACCATGACAAGAGTGGGGACCTCAAGCTTTTAACCAGTGTTGTCTGGAATCACCTGAGACTACCCCCACCCCGGCGCCGTGAGTACATGGTGGGCCACGGCTAGCTTATCATACAACAGCCAGAAAACCATTATTGAGAACAAAAATAATAAATTACATTTCTTACGATTGTTGCTCGTATACTACAAAACTTCGCGGCGCCGCCACGTTAATTTTTGAATAATTTATATTTTTTATTCTGATTTGTATCTTACAATAACTAATGAGTTGATAATTATTAGTAGTAAATTTCTGACAATGATTATGTTGTTACGCATGTTTATTATGTTATGAAGGTTGTTCAATTTTTTGTCATGAGATATTTTTGCCGAGTTGAAGAAGGTGTTTCATCCAAAAAATCTCATTGAATTGTCGATTAGAATAGAATACATTTATTGCTTCAAAAGTATACATTTCATAGCAGGGGTTCGAATGTACAGGTATTAACATAAGTGACATATATAAATATTGAACATAGCTGAAATAAAAGAGAAAGTTATAGGCAAATACAAAAAATACAGATAAAAATAATCAACAAGTAGAGAAAAATCATAGTGTAAATGAGAGAAAACTCATTCCGTTCCAGATATAGTTGGAAATGACCTTTGCAGATTTTGCGGAGATATTATCAAGAGCATAGACGAGTTTATCAAGATTAGATAGATAGTCGAGATCTTGGGGTTTCATTGCACAATAAATTGGACACTCAAACAATATATGTTCTATAGTTTCCAGTTCTTTCATGTTACATATTGAATAAATTTCCCGCGAATCTATTCTATATGTAGAGCCGTTCAGTGTGAATTTAATAATGTATTTATCACAAAGACGGAGTTGTGAAATGGTTCTTTTAACTTTGTTAGGGGAGGTTTAAAAAATCTTGGTTTGATCTGGTTATTCTAAGAAAGCAATGAAGAGAAAGAAACGCTGCACGGCATGAAAGTGAAACATCTTCTTGAAATAGCTTTTCCTGAAATTTGAGCATTATATTTTTTTCTCTTGGCTAGTTATGGAGCCACGTTCAATTTGAGACCAAATTTCAGGTAAGTTTAGAGAGATGAAAAGACTTTTCAATTGCAGTGACCAGTTAAACCTTTCATAACAGTAATCAAGTGTGAACTGTCTTTTGAGACAAATCTTAGGTAATCGGGTTTCATCCATGCTAAATATTTTGGTTATCCAATTCAGACATAGCTTACGAACACTGTAAATCCATTTGACTCTCCCAGTTTCTAGTCTGACAACATAGCCCGGTGATGTAATAGACAAAAGTAAAATTCTTTTAAGGAAAACCATTTGAACCCGCTCCAACATTTCAGCGTATTTAAGATCCCAGACGACAACACAACTGAACATGACGCTCACTTCTAGGCTATCAAAAGGTTTCATTTTGCATTTCCAAGAGTCTGTTTTCCTCTTAGTCTGTTTTGCTCTTGGAGATAACAGGAAGTATTGCACCTATTTCCTGTTTACCGTTTACCACCAATCTAATCGTCATTTCTCTAGAGAGAGTCGAAGATACAAATGTGACGCCAAGGTAGGAGTACTTGGAAGAAATCTCGACTTTTTTGTTATCGAATATGTCATTGAATTGTCGATTTGGCATCGGTTCCACAGAGGTCCTCAGAATATAGTGGCTCACGCATCAAGGACCGATGAGAGTGGCATAATTTAGAGGTTTGGTAGTTTCAATATATTATAATATTCACTTAATTGAATATTAAATCGTTTTTTCTTCGTCACAGAAAAGAATAGTGTATTATAATAGACTAATATTCATCAACTAATAACTGTGAGCTCGTACCTCTTTTGGGCGATCATCGCTTGCGAGGGCGACCCCAACACCGCCCCGATCCCGCCTTCGGAAGGGACAGCAGGGGCGGGAGCAGGGGCGGGTGTTGTGGGGGCAGCCGACTCGGGGGCGGCAAGCAGCAGCGCCGCCGTTGCCGCCGCCGCCCGCTCCCTTGTCTCCCTGAACGTTTCGACGTCCTTTTGGGTGACGCCTGGTGGCAGCGTCTGCAGCTTCGGCTCGACTAGAACAGAAAAAACAAAGAAACGTTCTCGATTAGAGAGTCTCTCCGTCTTACCAATATTCAGCAACGAAAATACCCGAACAACACCCGAAACAACCGTCATTTACGCGTACCCAGGCAACCAGATGACGTTTCAGTGACGTCTTTTTACGTCAGTTGAATGACCAAGGTGACGCAAGGAGTTGACGTCGGATGACGAGATAAATGACGTGAGTAAATCACAGCCCAATGACGTTTATTGACGTCATTCACTCACCAAACTATAACTTCGGACTGACGTCGAAATGACGTTCAAATTTGGTGATAATCACCACTGACCTCTGATGACATATAATATTGATGGTGCATTGTTGAGTCTGCTTGTTGGTCCCTCTGGTGTCATGTCCATTCAATCGTCTATTTCAGCAGCGCTATCCCTCAGTACGCATCTCCATCACAATGAAACCAGTTACTCGTATTTGTATAAAAAATTATGTAGTTGTGTCGGCGAGATGTAAGCAAACCAAGAATAGTTTGATAGCAATGAAAAGGATGTTGGCGAATTTAGCTTCACTTCGTTGAGTAACGTATATTCATGCATTATTTGTCACCCAACAAAAATCAAAATATCAAATTATTGAAACATTTTCTGAATGACGAAGCTCACCAAATTGGTACGTCACACTGACGTGATTTTTAGACGTCAAAGATACGTCATTGCCACGTCATAAAAGTGACGGTTTCAATATAGGAACACCTATATTATCATTTGTATATATACATATAAGTATAGCTTGATTGGTTTCCGAGATATACAGGGCGTCAAAGTTTAAAAAAGTTTTCTCTCAGCTTTTGCGTACATATGATTCCAATAAAACTTGCATGTTTATTTGTTTTAATGACTAATACTCCTATCGACGTTAGAAGCATACATATAAAATTACCAAGACGCACATTTTTCTATAAATGTGTGTAAAATTGATGAAAACACGAATTTTTCTGAAAACTTTTCGACACTGAAAATGCCCATCCTGTATATATAGGTACGTCACAAACCTAACGGTTTCTCATAATAATGTAAGTATGCATGGCTCATATATGATATGGGAAACATGGACGTCGACAGGACGTCCCTGCAACGTCATGTAACTCCTGTCCCTATCCTCCCTAGGAACGCACGATGTTCTTTGAACATTATAGGGATTCCCTTTCGTGCGCTCCAAGCGATAAAAAAAAAAAACTGACGTCTTAATTTTCCCTTCTAAGAGACGTTCACTCGACGTCGCGATGATGACGTGATTATCATGTCATAGAAAGTACGTCATAGTGACGTCATAAATTGGTGTGTGAGGTCTCTGGCGAAAAATCACCGATCACGTCACAGTGACGTGATCTTTCGTCATATAGTTGCCTGGGTAGGGAGCAAGCTGTTGAAAATGACTTTAGACCCATCGAAATGTTCGAAAGTGGCGTAGGCGCGGTGAGCATCAAATTGGCTCGAATCAGACATATAAAAAGAGGGAAGACAACATTCCAATCATGAAACAATATTTTTCCATTTTGCGTCTTCAATAAACCTATTACGCCACCCAAATGCGTATCGAAAAAGTTTTTATTAGGACACGCTGAATTTCTCTTTTTTAAGTTGGTAATGGTAACGTCAAACTGCCACACACTAGCGTCTAGAGATAGGACGCAACTAAAAATCCATGTGAAAGCAAGTCAGCAGCAGACAGTTTCTAGCCGAGCTTCGCTAGTCAACAACGCGAGAAAAAACTGAAGAGAGAATAACCTCAAAAAAGAACGACAATAAAAATTGAATATATCAAGAACGATGTTTCAATTAATGTTTTACATTCCATATTTCATGACCGTAATAATCTATAATATTAATCAATTGTTGTTGCTTTGAATGGTGCAATTGTTATATACATCAACTTTATCATTAGAGGTATTTTGAGCATTTATTTTCAAATTTGCTGGTAAGTTTTGTTGGGCTGCTGTTGACACAAAATTGTGCTAATCAGTCTGATGTCTATGGTCTGATTATTCAGGTTGTTGTTTGTGCAATGCAACTATAAGTTAAAGGCATCAGAATGTGCTGTAGAAGTTGGAGGCTGGGAAGAAAACATTTGAGCTACCCCAATTTTTCTCTTCACATAAGTTTTTATGTAACCTTCAGCAACTGCTAAGGAAAATGTCCTGTATAGCCGTTTGAACAAATTCCCTCAGTTCAGGAGGGGTGCAACTTCAGTTTGCCTCTTCAGTCTTTCACAATACAGGAAATTCCGATTTTTAATAGACCAACAATTTCAAATTATATCGCTGAAATAATCAAGTTAATTTGAATGAGATATATAACCTCTCTAATATTTGGTGTTGTCATTGATACATTTTTTTAAATGAAAGAGTACAAATTAATGCATAATAGAGAAAATAGTATATTACACACGTTTTATATGACATATTGTCGCACGCGTGCCACAAAATAGTGTCTTATAAAACTTGTATTATAATATACTATTGTTGCTAATCATACATACTTTCAAAGCTTCAAATAAGTTAGAAAGAGATGGCTTTAAAAAATGGCAACGCTATGAAATGTGCGTCAATGTTCACACTTTTCTTCACCAGTCGCGTAGCTTAGGCAAGGGGCAAGACAATTTAACTAAAATGACAACGCTATTATACCTATTAGAAAATGTTTGGTTCTAATCTTTCAATTTTAATACCAAATATTCATAGTACCTTAGGGACTTACATAATTTTGATCCATCATTCAGTGGAATTTGAACAAAAAAAAAACAAGGTTTTTTGCAATAATTTAGTTGAATAACCTGCGATAACTAAACCACTGCTCAAGTTGAAAGAAACATATAACCTTAATTGGGGTTTTTATGGTGAACATTTTCACAATCCAAGCACTGACGAACCATAATACACTTTTAATAATTGTCTTCATAAAAATATAGTTTTATAACAAGAAAACATTGAAAATCAATTGAAACACAAAAAGTCTTGAAATAGTAACAAACACAACACAACACTGTAACGTTGGATTTTGACATAAGTGAATGACTTCAAGACAAATATGCGTACCTCACATTAAATACTCGAATACAGCGTTGCCACACTTATTTCCATAATACAAAATGTAAAAAAAATCATCTCCCCTCGTTTTATACATCTATCCTGCGCCACTTAAGTTTTTTTTTTCCGATATGATTGGATGAAAAAATTACAAATGGAGGCATTAAATATTGAGGCTGATAATGATTCGCTATTCCAATGCTTTTTTAAAGGATCGAACGTGATCGTTCGGTAATGTTCTGTAGTCTTCGAACTATCGACTTCGAACTTCCGACTTCTTTGTGGTATTCGAATTTACCGCCCAATGGAGTGGGCTGCCACCTAGACGCTTGTATAATATTCATTTTTAGGAACAATGTTCATTTAGGCCGAGTTAGGTTAGATTGTTTAGAAAAAATATTCTCGTTTCTTGTGCCAAAAGTATATTTTTCATAAAATATACTTAGCAAAAGGTTTAATCAGGCCAAGTTAGTTGGGATTGTTCAGAAAAGGAAGTCTCCTTTCTTATGCAAAATGGATACTTTCTCTTCTTATATCAAGTTCTACACTGCTTCGAGTATTTTCGGTACTGAATATTGTAACACGGGAAGACTCTTGTTTCTCAGAAGTGAAATTGTGAACATTCGGGTCTCGATCAGGAACGAGAAAACTCGAAGTGTTGTAGACAGCAGCGACGAGACACAAGCTATAGGTGACTCTCTGAATTTCAAAGACGTGTAATAACGTATCATAAGAATTTTTTTTTAAACAATCCAACCCAACTCAGCCTAAATTGACAGTATATTTCTCAGAAAATTAATCTAGATAACAGAAGAGGCTTCTTCTCCTAATCAATATAATCTAACTCGGCATGCATGAACCTTTTTAATGAATATATTTTTTTCGGAAAATTAGTTGAGAGAACAAGGGAAACTCTTTCTAAACAAATGAAGTTAACTCGGCCTAAATTATACCTAGAAAGTACATGTTTCGGAAAATTATCGGGTATTCTCGTTCCTGAACACTGCAAGATGGCGAGACTGTGAAATTGTGTGGCAGCTATTAGAACTACCGCTTTACAATGATTCCAAAAGTTTTTGAACTCGCATGTGAGGTATGGAAACAAATCAATATTCTGCAACATTTTCGCTATCTTACAGAGGCGTGTCGTCATGGGAGCAAAAAAAGCACAGCTTTTCTTGCTCATTGATGAAAAGTACTGTTTTCAAAATGATACTACCAAGTTCATACCGAAGAAACAATTATAATTAATTTCTGAATCAACTTCCAATTTGAGCGACTCGACCTAAAATATAGAAAATGTTTCATCTGTGGCGTAATAGTAGGAGAGCCGGCTGCAGATTTATATGTCCCAAAGGAAAGTAAAAACATTATACAAAGAGAAAAACTCAAAGTCATTACAATGTTCTTCGTGGCATATAGACAGGAAAGTAGTTTTTTTCTCTCGTTATCTACCATTTTCGTTCATTTTATGAACTATTGTGGTAAAGTCGAGTTTCTCTCTTTGTGACCATTGAATTCCACTTTGAGTATTTGGCATTTTCCTAGTTGAAAATACGCCAGTCGGGCAACCAGCCACTCCCATTTCACCTGAAATGGGAGATTGTTTTGGAGTGTTTCATTCCTTGCCAGGTGGCGTTCGGCGTTCGCGTTTCATTTCGCGGACGTTGTACGCCTCGTGGGGTATAAATGCTGAGATGCGTTTCCATTCCGCAGAAGGGACATTTTCCCCTTTCATTTGCTCTTTGTTTCAATTCATTATCATATGACGGAAGTATGTCCGGAATAATAGCAGCATATAAATCGCTGTGCCGTGGATTTGGCTCAGGATGAGGGATGGCACAGGTAGTTTTTTAAATCTACCATTTAATTAGTATCAGATGGCATAATTCTTATCCCGTTATCAAATCGCGAAATCAAGTGCAAATATC